GCCGGGGGTGGTTCGGGGGGTCCTCCGTCGGTGGCCGGCGCCTGGACGCGGTCAAGCTTGGGCTGGAGGCGCTCCGGCCGCAGCTCGTGCCGGACGTAGGCAACGCGTGGCTCCGGCCGGCGAGGGTCCGGACCTCCCGGGGCTTCCCCCAAAAACTTGCGGGTCAGGAGCGGCGTCGGCGGCTGCTTGTTCTGCTCGGCCTTGAGCTTCTCAATCTGTGGGGCAGCACGGGGTGGAGATGGAGATGATGGAGATGACGGAGATGATGAAGATGATGGAGATGATGGAGATGATGGAGATGAAGATGATGAAGCCAGCAATGGCAATAGCAATGGAGATGGGACCGGGATGAAGATCAGAGATGGTTCTGCTGAGCCCACGGCTGCCCCCACCCCGAGCAGGGCCCAGCCCCGGGGGTGTCCCCGGTGCCGTGGTGGCCATACCGTGGTGAGGCGCCGCAGGGAGCTGAACCTCTCCTCCCAGGCGGCCGCTGCCTTCCGGAAGGCCTCGTGCCGCCGGATCAGCTGCTCCACCTCGTCCACGCTGCTGCCCAGCTCCTGGCTCTTCAGCAGCGGCTCCTGGGCCGTCAGCCACGCGTCGGCCACCACGGCCTCCTGCGCGAACTGGTGCACCTCGCGCACTGCCGGCACAGCCGGGGCCACCCGTCACCGCCGCGGGGTCACCGCAGAGGCTGGGGTCACCCATGGTCTGGTGGCCCTCATAATTTGGTGTCACCCATAGTCCAATGACTCCCATAATTTGGTGTTCCCCCTTAATTTGGTGTCTCCCATAACCCGGTGTCCCCCATAATCAGGTGACTCCTACGATCCAACGTCCACCCCAAGACCTGGTGTCCCTCCAAGACTCAACGACCCCCAAAAACCTTCTGGTGTCCCCCCAACACCCGGTGACCCCCTGGTGTCCCGCCATGGTGGTGCTCACTCTGCTGCAGCCACTCCCAGTGCTTGTCCCACTTCTCCGTCATCTCCTTCTTCTTTGCCAGGAGCTTCTCCATGTGGGATTTGATCTGCGGGGAGGGGGGATATGGGTTGGGACACCCCAGAAGTTCCACCACACCCCCTCCCCGCATCGCCCTCCCCCCACCCTGGGCACCTCGTCGGCCGCCGGGCTCTTGCTGAGGATGAGGGTCTTGCCCAGCTCCAGGCAGGTGGCCACGTTCTTGGCCCGGGCCTCCATCTCAGTCTTGAGGCTTTGGTGGTCGTTCATCAGCAGCTCCACTGAGGACACGTCCCTGGGGCAGGGGAGGGACAAGGGTGGTCCCAACCCCCAGCATGGGGTGGGGATGGAGAGGGGTCCTTGGTGGCTGGGAGGGGACATTGGCATGGTGAAGGGTTTGGGCCTTGGATCCATGGTGGGACAGGACATGGATCCTCAGATGGACCAGGACACGGGACCTTGGGATGGACCAGGACACGGGACCTTGGGATGGACCAGGACATGGGACCTTGGGATGGACCAGGACTTGATCCACGGCCACCTCCCCTACCTGGGCTTCTCCCCGGCACCCATCTGGTGGAGCACCCCATCCATCCAGGCCAGCAGATCCCTGACGGTGCCCACGAAGCGGATCTTGTCGGCCACGCTGGCCACGTGCAGCCGGCACTCCTCACACGCCGCCAGCAGCTCCTTCCATGCCCGCAGCACCTCCTGCTCGCGCCCGGCGATGGCCTCGGCGTTGTCCCCGGCGTAGAGCGTCCGCAGCTGCGCCGCGC